GTGAGCACCGCGGCACTGATCATGGTAATATAATTTGTGATAAATGGACATGTAATGTTTGAACAAAGTAATACATCTTCGCTAAATCACGTTTGTTATCGATGTGATGGTGGTGGTGGTGGTGCTTGGTTCTTTTTTTCGCTTAAAAAATCGACAAAACTCAATTATATGAAGGTAGCACACAATTCCGAAAGGATATTTTTCGGTATACATTTCCTGATGTCCGACTCAGTTGTTTTTATGGTTCGATGTATGTGTGTGTGTGTGTGTGTGTGTGTGTTGGTGTGCGTGTGCGAGTGTTTGCATTGTAAAATGTGCCGCACTAAATCACACGCAGATGCAAGTTCAATATATTCTTTGAAGTTTGAATAAACATCGGTATAATCTGTCCGTCCACACCAATTCCATGCGAAACAAAGTGACGACGGCAAAGACACACAATTTAAACGCCACATTGATATGAACGGTTTTTCCTTCTCGTCTCTTCCTCTTCTTCTTCAATATGTTTTTCGCTTAATTAAACTGTGAAGTTTATGTACGAAATAACTTTATGATTATAATTTAGCCAGCAGAAAGGAAATCGTTTTCAACGCAAGAAAATTTTCTCTTGCACTACTGTGGGAAGATTATCTTCGACACACCGTCAAAAAACCACAAAGTTATAGTGGCAACAATAAAGTAGCTATAAAAAAAAAATTGTGTTGTGCAAGGAACTCTTGAAACGGAGACAAAGAGAGAAATAACAAAAAAAATTCTAGCTCAATAGAGCGACTCAATGGTTTTAAGATCTATAGTCGAACATATATCATTAAGGATAAATAGTTAATCAGAAATATCATATATTTAGAGATTAATAATAACATAGGTTTAGAATGATTTTTATTTCTATCTAAATATTCTAAAACATTAAGGAGTGAACCAAAAAAAAAATGCTCATAATCGGCCACAACAAATAACAATGATAGTTTGGTAGCGGTAATCGTGTCGATTGTGGTTGAATGAGAGATTCGAAATTGGTGAGAGACCCCAAATAGCAGCAACAACCAAAAAAAAAAGTCCGAGGCAGCAATACCTGCATTTCAGTAATATATTTAATGTGATATTTTGACCTCTTTTGATTTTTCCAAGATGTTATTATTGAATACCTATATTTAAGGCGGAGGTAGACATTGAGAGATGTTGCTTATGATATTTTTCGAGAGTTGTTGCATTTTTTTCTCCTTTCGCTTGATTGTTTGGAACATTACTCGATTGATGTTGTCCGGGCCAACGAATGTGTTCAGCAATCTCTCACTCATTAGGTCGTTAAAACTACAAAGAAACAAAAGTTTCTTTAAATTCAAGCACTTTTTTGTTCCAACATTTTATCTGGTGAACGTTTGATCACCACTGCCAAATCTATAATTATGAAGATTATTTTTTGTTTTCGATCCATAAGTTTGTGGTCGCTTAGCTACCGAAGTCATATTTGAATAGAATATTTTTCATTTTTTTTTCTCTATCTTTTGAGATTATATATTGGTTTTCGGCTCGGGACCAAATCAACGCTGAACACATTCCGGCGTTGATTTTCCACATTCGATTCAGGCAGAAAGAGAGAAGCCCAACGAATTGATTTAATTGGCTTCTGTAGATGAATCTCAACCAATTTTATACAGCAGGTCAACGATATTTCGAAATTTGGGTGTTTTTGTGCAACAAAAAAAAAAAAAAAAAACAAATCTAATGGATATCAGCGGTTGCATCTTTTATATATATATATTTGGCAGATATTCTTGCGGCTGTACATTTCGATGCCACAAGTTTTATGGTCGGTAAAATGGCCATTTCGCTTAATAACTTTGAATGATTTTCGCACTTCACATTTATTTAGGACGAGCAAAAGGAATGAAAAAGGTTACCTCTATTTTTGCATCAATATATTATGACTCTTATGGTTTGATCCCAAACGTTTAGGCCGGTACGATTGTTTCACTCCATTTGACAAGTGTATATGATTGCTGTTTTCAGCATTTTTGAATTACATTTAAAATGAATAAAAAAAAATGAAACTCGATTTCCTTTTGCAGAGCGGATAACATGTTTCTATTCATATTTAAAGAATTTTTTATATGAAATTTTCACCACGTTGGTGTCTGAATCAAATGTCTTGGAAAAGGATGTACGTACAGCAATGCTGGTGTATGATCGGCACGCAAATATGTCGGTTATGGCAATCAATCAAGTCAACCTATAAATTTTATATGCATTTTTGTGTGCGCCAAGCGCCGAATTATCCATATGAAGAGTGAAAAAAAAATATTGTATTTCCTTTGAAAAACCACGCGGCAATTTATTGTTCGCGTAATTGTGAATGAATATAATCGGATCAGGAAAAACGAGCACCAAACGGAATTCATTGTGTGATTTATCGCAGTAAATCAAAGCCAGAGATTTTCGTTCAAAAGGAATTCCAACATAAATACATATGTGCACCGCGAGAAAGAGAGAGAGAGAGACTTAAGAATTGGCATGAGTTTGTGGTGTGATGCGCATACCGCAGAATGCAGTGCTATATCAAAATTGACGTTTTCGATTCAAAAGACAAATTATAATTTAAACTAGTTTAAATTGATCGAAATGCATCGTCATTGGTTTAAGTTGGTCGTAACGAGAGTCGAGAGAATTCACCGTGCTTTTTTCTTTCGACATTTGGAAATTATGATGCAGGTTTGATGCTATTCCATTTAATTAAGGCTTTTTAGGTTAAGACTCCAAAACCATCGATTAACTCCACGCAACGGCAATTCTCTCTCTTTCTCTCCCACTGTTTCAATCTCGTTCTGAATCGCGCATCAATGGTGTGACTTTGTTTTCATCGTACATTTCCTAAAATATTCTTCAGTCGCATAGCTATTATTAAGTATTTATATTAAAACGGTGATTTAAAGCAATTCAACGATTGATTATAGACATAAGTGAAAAAGGATAAAGTCAACAGTGCAATCAAAATAAAACCAAAAAGGTTGGCATCACTCAATTCGTTTAGTTCTTTTTTTTTTGTGGCCGTTGTTGTTTCAAGCACCGTAGACATAGATCGTCGTCGTAATACAGGTCGTTCTATTTTATTATTTTTTTTCGTTGTTTTTTTATTTTTGCTTGGTTGCGGTTCGTATGAACTTTACCGAAAATCGTGGTTATTCCAGTTTGGTAATCAGAATCGTTTTTAGATAGAATGATGTGTTATGTAGCATTGAGAAATGTTGAAAAGAAACGATTTTTTGGTCGTAATTACATAGTGAGTTAATTCGAAACAGAAAAAAAACTGTCCAATATTGTGATTGATAGTTTGGTTTGTCCGTTTTTCAGTGTTCAGCCGATTTGACTGAAATCGAGTCAAATTCATTCGGCTAAGCTTTCTATTTCCCTTTTCTCTCTCTCTATTTTTCTCTCTTTCCGCGGCTCGCGATGAGATTAAATCGAATTTCGTTGATTGGTGAATCCACACCAAACAAACCAAGTCAATGTGGCTCTCGATTTTCATGATTTGACTTTCGATTCAAATTGGCACACCAACGATTATATCTATTTGCACACAATCCAAGAACCAGATCACCGATTTCGTTGTTTTCCCAGCCAATTACGATGTTTGCCATATATAATACAATGTTTTGTTTCGCCATTTCGGAAACTCACAATCACTGCTGTAACCGCCCGTAATTGGTTCAATCAAGCAATCGATCTGTCAATCGTTAGCTGGCAATCAATGAATCCAAAACTACAATTAACCGACGAAAATTGCACTCGCAAATATCACTTAAGCTGATCAATTTGCATTCGGATACACAAAAAGGCACACAAGTAATTGCTATGCTGCGCAAGAGAGTACATTGTTGTTTGCTATAATATCTTGAAATCAATGGAAAAAAGGCGAAGAGCGAAAACATTGGAAATAGATATAACACAACTGAATATAAAAAAGCAAGATAATTCCAAGTAAATTTGAAAGGAGAAAATTTATTATTCATTTTTTTAATGTTTATGAAAGTATATTTTCGGGTGAAAGAGACACACATACACTTGAGGTGTCCATTTAATGTGTGCAACAAAATACGGTTGAATGAAATTCAAATGTTTATTTTTACACAACTATTTATCATAATTGTAGTATTCAATTTACACAGGTTACGATGAAAAGGTGAGCGATTTAATCATAGCTCGATCGAAAATAGGGTTCATTGAAAAACAATAAGACAAACTTAAAAATCAACAAAAGATGGCTATTAAAAAGCATTTTGATGGAACAACGATTGAAAGTGGCGAAGTTGAGACAACATAAAACGGTAATGACAATGCTTTGGAATAAGTTAGCAGCCATGTGTAAAGAAAGCACTTTATTGTTGAATTAAATACACTGAAATTATTTACAATAATTTTATGTGCAGTTGTATTTGATTCCGTAAGTGTACAATCGAATGCTGAAAAGCTGCAATCAACAATAATATTCATTCTATGATGTGAAATTAGTATTTAGTATAGTTGTGAGCGTGTATGATTGCCAAGACTTATTACGTTTCAGCTTCTAGCAAGTAATAAATTGATAGTGGCCAAATTAAAAGAAACCACTATACTCAAATCGAGCGCGTTGTTTGTATACAAATGGATAAATAATTGAAAAATAATTGATATTTTGCGATGTAATTGTATGGAGCACAAATCATATTTATGCATATTTGGACAATTCACCGTTTTAACTCGTTCCGCATTTACATGTTGAGTGACCCGGATCCACTTCAGAATCAATGTTGGCCACCCTTCAAACGAACCGTTGTAGAGAAAACAAATAGCTGCAAAGAAAAGAATCAACATACGCTCCAATGGCATGCTACAAAGTCCGTTTGTGAAGTGATTTAATCAAAACAAATGTGTGTATTTCGTATTTTTTGAATGTATGGTAACTCAGTTTATTCAATAATAAATATTTGATGTAATTTTTGTTTGTACATTTATGCGTTTTGGATACAATGAAATACGTCGGGACAATTGGAGAACTTTGAAACTAATTTACTAATATAGATTTATACATTTTTATTTATTTATAATAGATCTCGTTTTCTCTTAAACATACTAAAATTTTAAATTTATTTATTCTTTTAATTTTCTTCTTCATTTTCATTTATTTACAATACTTAATACGACATAGCGAATACGAAGAAACTAAAAAATTATCATAACAAATAATAGATATTGTTTGCTGTTTGTGTAATTTAATTCAAAATAAATTTGTATCAGTCTTCAGAATGTTTACCAGCTTTGGTTATCGGTTTGTGTTTTTTTGCTTTGAAACAATAGTAATACAAAGGTTAACGTTGCATTATTTCGTCTATTGTGAATCCTCTTTTTGGTTTTAGATTGCTGGTTGATGGTGTATCGGTGATGAGTTTCTGCGTTAAATCAAGCGCCGGATCGGCTGTTGGCCGTAGTGATTTTGTGTTTGGCATTGATTTAAGTGCGGCTTCTGTGTCGGCGTGTGTATGACGTTGCATGTGTGTTTTCAGCGCTGACCGTTGTGTGAATGTTTGCTGACAAACTGGACATTTGATGCCATTGTCTTCGGAGTGTGTTGCACGATGAACGGCCAGCGTTCGCGATTGACAGAAACCTTTGCCGCATTCCTTGCATTTGAATGGCTTGTCCTTTGAGTGAATGTATTTGTGATCACGTAAATGGTCTTGTCGTCTGAAGGCTTTGCCGCACAAATCACAGGGGAATGGCCGTTCATTGGTGTGTGTACGTTCGTGGATTTGTAAATTGTAACTTTTGCTGAATACTCGATTACAGAAACGGCAAATGAATTGTTTCTTCGGTCGTTTTCCATTTGGGCCGACCATCTTAACGGGACCCATTCGGATGGGTGCTTGTTGTGGCACACGTTGACCTGCACGGTGTCCCATTTGCTGTTGTTGTTGCTGCTGTTGATGGAACGCCACCTTACGAATCCATTGGTCCATCAAGGGGTTGGCAGAGTGATTTGGCATGACCGGATACAGTTGAGTGTAGCTTTGCATATTCAACGGCGACGATTGTGATTGTAACCACAAACGATGTTGTTGCTGATGGTGTGCATTTAAAGCGGACATCTGATGGTGCAATGGATTGAATGCTGCTGGTGGTACTTGACTTTCGTGTTCATGTTTTATTTGCATCATATGGTATTGGGATGTTTGTTGTCGGAACAGTTCCATTTCGTATAATTGTTGCTGACGGGCAATATCAGCCAATGTTGGTTTGTCTTCGATCGGTGTGTGTGGTGGTGTTAGCATTGGTGAAATACTTGAAGATCGCTCTTGTTTTAAATTTATTTCCAAAGCAGACGAAAAATCTATACGAAAAAGAAAAAAAAATTGAAAAAAAAATTAGTTAAAGTGGAAAAATACATGTGCCCATTGAAATGTAATTAAAATGACCACCCGAAAATCATTTCCGCAAAACTGATGTTTTTGAAAGAGAAATATGTGAATAGAAAACCCGTTGCACAAAATGAGACAAAAAATTTGGGAAACAGCATTTTTGTGTCATTGTTGTGTTCAAGGCGGTTGACATGTTTTGTGTTGTGTGTTTTGAATTTCAAAAATTCGTTCGAAATTTGTGTGTTTCTTTTCACTCGTGCACAAAAGCAACATACAGTGTGTGTGCAAGAATATGCAAAACCATTAAAAAAACTACATATTGAAAACGAAGAATAATATCGAGAAAAAGGACGTAGCCGCGTGTGGGTGACTTGTGCACAGCTTGAAACACAGCAGGCCGAATGATATACACGCATTTGTTACATTTACGGCATAAGTTCAGTTTTTTTAAATGCACACACAGATACGAACATACATACGTACACATTCGTCGCTTGCACATTGGCAAAATACTTATATATTTTTTCGAATGACGACAAAAACAAAAGACGAAACGATGCAATCTTTTATGGGTTTTTGTTCTTTGAGAAACAAAAAAAAAATCTTTAGAAAAAAAGACGGCGAGAAGAACAAGAGCATTTTCAAAGCAATTTACTTTCATTTGTTGAGTAAATAAAATTTGGTAAGCGTATTGTGCTTTTTTCATTTTTTGTGTCAAACGAATTCGATTCGCTTTGTTTTGCAAAAGGATCAAAAATAAAAAAAAAATGCCAACCACTAAAAACGGCATAGATCAAAACACACACCTGCTTGACTCCTGGTTTGAATATCGTCTACGCTTATTTCACTGCATGAAGAAGTTGACGACATTGTACAATGCTCCAAGAACTTTTTCACAAAACTTTGATCGCACTTTGAAACTAACGTTACGTTTCTGTTCCCTTTTTTTAAGTTAACTTGACGGAAAGAAACAACTTTTTTTTTATTTTGTACTGAATTAGACGAAGAAAAAAAATTCACTTTGAGAAGAAATTGGTGAAAATCTTTTGCTTTTTCTCAATTTTGATTTAAAAAGTACACTTTTCGTTGATGTGAAAATTCGAAGAGTTGAAAAAAATATATATAAATTGTATGGAAGAGAGGTGTTTGAGAGCGATGTGTTTGGTATCGATGTTTCTTGTTCCAGTGTAGGATAGAATTTGAAAAAAATTATTTTAATGATAGTTCGCTCTACTCTAGGTGCTTAGACGACTAATTGTCGATCCCAACTGATTTGCTACTAACGAAAATTGCTTCCAAAGAAGTCATGCACTGCCTCACGAAAATGTACGGCTGCCGAACCGACAAAAAAAAAGAAAAGAAAAAAAGAGAACTAACTAAAAACACACAAATACACACACGGTGTGAATTGTGCACGAAACGAACGCAACGAATGAATGTAGCGAAGAGAATGAATGTGAGATGAAAAGAGGGAAAGAAGGCAAAACAAGCAACAAGAAAACAAAGAGACACACACACATAGATTCATTGGTGGGGATTTGTCACCGCCTACTTATATGTCGGCTCATATTTTCGATTGGATGAATGATTGCTGTTGTTCACGTTCGAAACGGCACTCGGTTGGTTCGTGAACAATGTACAGGTTTAGAAGCAAGTGACGCGTGCTATAATTACTGCAACCAAACGTAACAATCAAAAAGAAAACAACAACCGTTGCTCTTCTTCATTTTTATTTGATTAACGTCTATATACTGAGCGTGAGATAGAGAGGGAGCGATAAAGAGAATCGAATGGCAAAGGGTGATGGAAAATCGAGGGGTCGAAATTTTATTTGTGCAAAGAATAAATAAATAGAGATAGAAAAAACTGTCAACAGCAATCAATTGGTGAATAGGAAGTGAATACTTTCGTCGGCAATTGCGTTGAAAGCCAACAATGTTTCCGTGTTGATTGGCTTTGTTTTGGGATTTAGGCAGGCCGAAAAACCTTTTCACATATGTCCAGGCTGGGAAATTGCGTTTTTTTTATAATCCGTGTTTTTAAGACCGTTTGGCATAGGTAAGGTTTTTATCATCAGGAACATGCGGCGAAAACTAGCCTCAAACATGATTATTTTTTCCGCATTAAGAAATAAAAATAAATCTATAAAAAAACATATGGTGCTCATGTGGTTCCAAATTTCACTGGACTAACTAACCAAAAGTATCTGGTCAACAAACAACGTTTTGTACAATTTCGACCGAATAATGAACCAAAGTTCAGGTAAGGAATGAAATGGTCGGTATTCTTTTAATAAGAGAAAATGCACGGCTGGAGAAAGCATTTAATATCATTTAACACACGAAAAAGAAAATGAACAATTTTTGATCGATGGCCCAATAATTATTGGAATGAAAGGAACAGTTTTTCTTTATGATATTTGTTGATTTATTTTAATTTTCCTATTGTTTCCGAAAACTGTTCAACATTTATTTATTTGTTAGTTAAAAAGTCATGAGCGAAGAGAAAACGGTAACTTTGTTCAATCCACCGAACATCAGGCACACAATTCACCAAACATTTTTACCGCTTTTAATTTGATGAGTTATTGTTTTGAAATTGAGTTCGGTTGCGTGCGGTTGCGTGCTCTGTTCGGCTACTCTATTTTGTGAAATAAGTAGTTCTATCTATTATTTGTGGCCATCGTCAAATTAATTTATGTACTTTTGATTTTGAAATGAACGTTACACGCCATGCAACGATTTGAAAGCATCGCTTTCAGGTAACATTTCCTTTTTTCACTTCGTTTCAACTTTCATTGGCAGGCGGCCTTTTTATTTAGTTATCATAAAACCTGCATAAAAAAATAGGCACTCACCTCATCCGGCAAAAAAATTACGAAAAATAAACAGAACATTTTCACATGTTAACCTTAAACCTACTTGAGCAAAGACTTTTGTTGATTGCGCAATTTATATTTGATCCAAAATGTTTCTTTTATTTCTATGTTATATTTACAATGCTTAACTCTACAACTACACAAAAAACTTAAAATGATTCTAATGGCATATATTAGTATGGATAGTTTGTTGTGTATTTCATTAAATAAATATATCAGTCTTCAGTTTTGCTTAAAACTATTGGTTTGAAAATTTATCGTTGCATTATTTCGTCTATTGTAAAACCTCGTTTCAGTTTTACGCTGCTATTTGATGGCGTTTCGGTTTCCATAATATTGTATACTAAATCAAGATCAGAAGCGGCTATTGTTTTCATCGATTTTGGTGCAGCTTCTGTGTCGGCATGTGTGCTACTTTGAATGTTCTCTATTGATTCCGATTGCTGTCTGAGAATTTGTTGGCAAGCTATGCCATTGTCTTCGGAGTGTGTTGCACGATGAACCGCCAGCGTTCGCGATTGGCAGAAACTTTTGCCACAATCGTTGCATTTGAATGGCTTGTCCTTCGAGTGAATGTGTTTGTGATCACGTAAATGGTCTTTTCTTCTGAAGGCTTTGCCACAAATATCGCACGGAAATGGTCTTTCATTGGTATGTGTTAGTTCATGGATTTTCAGGTTCCAAGTCTTGCTGAACTCACGATTACAGAAACGGCAAATGAATTGTTTCTTCGGTCGTTTTCCATTCGGGCCGACCATCTTAACGGGGCCCATTCGGATAGGTGCTTGTTGTGGCATACGGCGGTCGGCGTGATGTGCAATTTGCTGTTGTTGCTGCTGCTGATGGAACGCCACCTTACGAATCCATTGGTCCATCATACCAGAATGATTTGGCATTACAGGATATACGTGCGTGAAACTTTGCACATTCATTGGTGATTGCGCTTGTGATTGCAACCACAAATGATGTTGTTGCTGGTGATGCATACTTAGAGCAGACAATTGATGGTGTAATGGGTTGAATGCCACTGGTTGCAATGGTTGCTGTCTTAAAAGTTCCATTTTGTAGGGTGATATTGGTGATATTGGAAAATGTTGGTTTTTCTTTTAACGGCGATGGAGAAATACTTGAAGACCACTTTTTGATTCGATATTATTTACCAAGCAGACGAAAAATCTGTACAAAAGAAAAAAAAATTAGTTAGTTAGAGTGGAAATGCTAAATAGTTTTAAAACCCATTGTAGAAAGTGGGACAACAAAATGAAAAACAGTGAAGAAAAATATATGTTTTCTGTGCATCGTCAAATGTATTTATGTCGCACACCATTTTATAATAAACGTTTCTTTATTTCTATTTCAACTTTCATTAAGAACTTCAGTTTATCACAAAACAAGCAAATCTGTCACTTCATCAATAAAAAAATCCAGAAAACATTTGAGAAAAATAAATGAACACAATGATTTTCACGTGTGAAACGTACCATCAGTAATATTTGGTCAAAAAATCCGTTTATTTGTAAATTTTTAATGATTTTAACTTAGATTTGGATGGGTATTCTCAAAAAAATCACTTTTTATAATTGTTGAAATGAACTTAATCAAAAATGCACAGATTGAAATGTTTTTTTCGTTTTCAGGAGCTAAACAGGAGATATCACTTTCTTGTTTCGCGTTTGACGATCAACTGTGAACTACTGTTTTCATTTTCAATATGAGTACGATGTCAACTTTCGGCAGCGATCCTTTGAACACAAAAAACATCACAAAATGTCACATTCACATCTTTCTTTTCACATTTTCAATATGGAAATCATAAAGTAATAAAACATTTCAATTTCTCTTTCGTTCATTTTTACACTTTCGCTTTGAGCAGATACATACGGCATTTTCAAATCTTGTTACCAGATATGACAGTTTATTGTCATCCAATTGTCTTGTGTCCCTTCCATTGCATTTTTCTTTCTCTATCTCGATGAATTTTAAAGCAGGAGAAAGAGAGTGAATTCACTTTTGCAAATACAATGAGCCCAAATAAAACTATTTATTAATTTGTGCAATAAAGTAATTTTGTTTACATCCTACTAAAGTACTATATGTCAGCCATTGTTCTCTGTATGTGTGTGTGTGTGTCTTTTGCCTGTACATCTAAAGTTTCGGAAGCGACTTTGAAATGGGCCCGAAAAGGAGAAACTGAAGGAGTAAGATGAAGAAGGCTTCAAAAGAAGGCTGAAATATTACTCGTTCAAATGCTTTCGTTTTGCATGTATTTTTCTTGCTTTTTGAGTCTTTCTCTACTGTAAAATAGAAGAGTGTTATTCGGGGTATTCGGTAGTGAACACGTACATAAAACGTGCAATAAATTCATAAAGTTTTTAATAATTTTTTGGAAAAACTGATGTCCGAGTGACGATTCTTTGAATGAGTTTAGCGTTTGTTAAAATTTTCAACTTCAACTGAATGTTCTAAATGTCTTAAAATTCAATGGTATATGGAACCAATAATCACTGCACACTCTCTTCCGATCTCACTCGTTTTCGTTTTGTTAATTAGTATTTCAAGGTCCAAGCACTTTTTCTACCATCGTTTCACATTTTTCGTTATGGAAAAATCAAGACATCGACTTTCGTTTGGCTCCTGAAGCAATACTACAGAAAGCAAAAATTCAGCTCACCTAATTTACACATATGGATTTGAGCCTTGAAACGCACATTTTTTTGATTTTTCACGCATTCTCGATCATACTGTGATTGAACATTTGAACGGTGACCTTCATTTATACATGGGTCAATCGATGATGTTCTGATGGTTTTCTCAACGTTTTCACATTGAAAATTTTAAAGTGAATAATTGCATTAACGAGTGTTTTTTTTGAAGAGACTATGACTATGGCACATCAATCACATTCAATTTTCAATTTTACTGTATACAGTAGAAAGTTATATAGAAACCTATTAATCTTTTATTTGTAAAACTTTGAAAATTACTGCGTATAATTTTCATTCTTCTGCCCAATTAAATGAACAAATTCAACAATTCGATTGAATTCGTTTTAAGTCTTCAATGAAATGTTTATTCGCAAATTTCTAAGAAAAACTCAACAAAAAAAGTGTGCGCGAGACTTCCGACGAGAACGGAACTACAATTCAAGACTCGAAATGAAAATTAACCCTTTTGAAAATGCAAACAAGATTAAATTCATTGAGACAATTAAATTGAATGGAGAGTTAAAACTAATATTCATTTCCATAATCCTTTCCTAAATGGCCAGAATCCAATTTTTTTTTACCAGTATACGCTGTGCAAAATTTAAAGGTTGAAAAATATGCATTGACCAAGCAATGGGCAAAATTCATCAGAGTTTTCTGCAGAAGATCGATGAAATTGCTTATTTAAATCGTTT